ATTTTATTGTATTTAGCTAGAGTTTGGCTTTTTTTCTCCATTTGTCTTGGTTATTACTCTGCTTTTACCTCTTCTATCTGATAATTGCTAAATGTACCCCACTAGAGCCTATTTATTATAGTTCACTTATACATGTCAATAGTGCATAGTATGGCGAGGCATTAATCTCACACTAGTTACATTGCAAGATTTAGTGTTAAAATAGTGCAAGCGATTTGTAAAACCACGAAACTCATTTCTCTTATGGCTCACACATTTTTTATTTCTCTAATTTATGACTTAAAATTATTATTATTATTATTTAATTTTTATTTATAAATTTTATATTCTTTTCATAAGTTTTTTGGTCCAATAACATGTACGCATAGGCCTTGGGCTAGTTTGGGCTTTGAATCTGCTTCAATTTCTCTTCCTCATGCTCCTCCCACTTCTTCGGCTTTGGGCATGTGCTTCATCACGTTGTCGACAATGATAACTCCAAGTCAGGGTGTTGATACTACTTTTCCCTTTACTTGGATGCTGATACGCTCACACTCCTCTTCCCTTGCTCTTAGTTCGATAGCACACTCAACTCTTCTATTTTCATTCCTTAACTACTTGGCTGAAATTTAGGATAAATTCATGGAAAGGTGATTTTTGATAGTTACATAGGGATGGTTACATATAGATGTATTCATGCTTAGTTAATTGCAGTATTATCCATAGTTTTTAATATTTTATGCTATTTTTAAAATTACATGTGATATGTGTTATAAATAACTCTGGGATTTTTGAACTATGACGTGCTGCTTGCCATTGGTAAATATTATTTCATTGTTAACATCATGCTATTGCTTTTATGTCTCGTGAATTTGATTTGTCGATTCTCTGTGGCATTGCCACTTAGTTTTGGAATATAATGGGTAAAATGAGAACTAAACTTTACAAATCAATTATTTGACATTTATGGAAGGTTAGATGCAACTCAAATTCATTAACGATATATGGAAACTTATCATATTTGAATTGATCTTGATATATGTCTGCACACATCCTTTTGATGAAATTAGAATGACTCATTTATTAAATATACCCCCGAAATATGCAATTACCTAAATTGAACTATTAAATGACATTTTAAACATTTGTAAAATTGATTGGTCATTGTAATAATTTGCAAAATTTCTTTTTGTTATTTCTATATTTCATTATTCTAAAAATATAGACTTACATTTAAAAGTTCCAGTAATTCAATCTCTTTTTCTTATATAATTACTTTTTCATATTTCACAACATTATTAAGATATTTGAAGACACAAGTGACATGGAGCTAAAATTATAATACAACTTTGATTAATTCCTAACTTTATTTGTTACTTTAACATTAAATCAGAAAATTACATGATAAAAAATATATAATAATGAAACGAATGACGAGCAAAATTAAGTCATGTTTCATAACACCGCAATAAAAAAAAAATAATGATTATATTTACAAATGATGTCAATAAAGATAACAACAATAAATGCATATTAGTTTTTAAAATATATGACTTTATTTAATCATCGCTCAAAATTATATAAAAAAAAGAAAGAAAATGGATTGGAAGGCCTTAGCTATAGGCATCAGAGGACTAGCATATATTTTTGTACTCCTCCCAAGAAAAGCAAAATATAAAAAAAAAATTTACAACAAAATTTTGTATTTATCATTGTTGGATCTTTTTTTTAATGAATCCATACTACCAAAGAAATAGTTAGAGGGAAGCTTTGAGCTATGGATCTTTTTTTTTATGAATCCATACTACCAAAGAAATAGTTAGAGGGAAGCTTTGAGCTAAAAAAAGTAAGAAAGGGAAAATATTGAAGAAGATGGCCACTTCGATATATCAGAGGAATCCTCTTTATATTATAATTATATCCCCTATTTGTAGAGGGGCTAAATGAATCCTTAAAGATGCCATGTTAATCGGTCGTCCTTTTTGGTGTGGATATTTTAATTAACATTATCTTGATAATGCCTTGCATTGGTATATTTTTTCTCTTAAATGCCTCTCTTGGGATGTTCGACCTTCTAGGAGAGTTATTCTCTTGGGACATTTGCTTTTCTGGATGAGTTCATCTCTTAGGAGAGTTCTTCTCTGCTAAAGTTATTTTCCCTGGACGAGTTAATATTTTGAGAGAGTTAATTTTATGGATGAGTTCATCTCCTAAGAGAGTTAATCTTTTGGAAGTTCTCCTACACGAGTTCATCATCAAGGTTAGTTTAGATTTTGGAAGAGTTTATCTTCGGGAAGAGTTTAGCTCTTGGATGTGTTCATTTCTTGGAGGAGTTCATCTTCTATATGAGCTTATCTCATGGGAGAGTTCTTCATCTCAAGGATGAGTTCATCTCCTAGGAGAGTTGTGCTCTTAGACAAGTTCTTTTTTGGACGAGTTCTTTTCTTAGATGTGTCTATTTCTTGGGAGAGTTATTTTTTTGTATGAGTTGACTTGCTGCGTGTCATGAACTTAGTTTAAGAGCTTTTGGCCATACATATTTATTTCTCCAATTTTCTTATATTTTTTGAAGCCAATTCGAAATAGATATAAGGAGAAAATTTTGTTGATTGCTTAGTGATGGAAATCATGCTTTGCTCATCTCTATATGGAAAATATATGTTCTCTTTTCTAAAAAGTGAATTCATTGGTTGTTTTAAAATAAGTCTTTTAAGTAAATTTATGAGGGGTGTATTTCAGTGTTAATTGTCCATTTACCGGTGGCTCTTAGCTCTTTTATAGGGATTCATTTAGGGGTACTTTAGCTATATCTTTAGGAATCATTTTGACTCACTTTTAAATATTAGTCTCATATTTTTAATTTAGTTGTTTGTTTGGTTTACTGGAGCCGGTCCCAAGCCCGGTTGTGAAAAGTGGAGGGTTACGTTAGGTAGTCGACAACCAGCGTAAAACTTGTCGAAAAAATCATGACATGAATTATTTTGATCATTGTGTAAGTGTTAGGGCCGCTACAGTGAAAAGTGTGCAAGGGTCGCTCCATCCGCGCTCTGGTGTAGTGTCAAATAAGCAAGAGTTCTCACATTACAGACGGATGTGAGTAAAGAAGTTAGTCCATAAAACTAATATTAGGATATGTTCTTGGAATATAGGTATTCTCACTGGTAAATTAATAAAATTAGTTGATATTATGATTCATGGAAAAATAAATATCTTATGTGTTCAAGAAACTGAATGGGTTGAAGAAATGATTAAGGAGATTGATAACTTAAGTTTTAAACCTTGGTATTCAGGTAAGAGTCATACTAGAAATGATGTTAGCATAATTATAGATAAGAGTTTGAAAGATAATGGTTTAAAAATTAATAGAGTTGGAGATAGAATTATATATATTAAGATTATTGTTGATTTTATGATTTTTGATATTATAAGTGCTTATGCTCCTTAAGTAGGTTTAGATATAGGTTCTAAAGTTAAATTTTGGAATGACTTAGAGACTTAATATAAATGACACCTCTTAAAAAATATATTTTTATTGGAGGAGATTTAAATGAACATATCGGTAGAGTGGTAGAAGATTAAGAAATATTCATGGTGGCTATGGTTTTGGAGTGATTAATGAACAAGGTAGAACTATATTAGATTTTGCTTTAGCGTATAATTTTATTATTGCGAATACTTTATTCATAAAAAGAGGTGAGCATATTATTACTTATTAGAATGGATATGATAAAACACAAATTAATTATTTTCTTATGAGAAGAAGAGATCGTCGAGAATGTAAAGATTGTAAGGTCATTTCAAATAAGGATTTAAATACGCAACATTGATTATTATTAGTTTTAGATTTTAAGACGAAGAGTTGTAAAATAAAGAATACTAGGAATCATCGTCGTAGAACTAGATGTGGGTACCTAAAAGACAAATAAAATTATTTTTATGAGTAAAATTCAAGATTTCAAAATTTGGGTTGTTCATGAAGTAGCAAATTCTATGTGGGATAAAGTAACAAACACTATTAAAAAAATGACAAAAGTTGTACTTGGACAATCAAAAGAAAAATTTTCTATAAATAAAAATTGTTGGTGGTGGAATAATAATGTGCAAGAAAAGATAAAATATAAAAATTGATTTAAATGTAAAAATTTAGAGAATTGAAAAAAAAAATCAAACGACTCGTATGAAGTCTAAGAGAATTATCTGTGATGCTAAAAATTCTGCTTTTAGAGATCTTTATAATAGATTAGATACTAAGGAGGGTGAAAAATATATATATAAACTATCCAAACAAAGAAAAAAAAGTAAAGATTTAACTCAAGTAAAGTGTATTAAAGATGAAAATCAAAAAGACATTTCTTAGAAAAATATATTAAAAATAGGTGGGTGAGTTATTTTGATAAACTTTTTAATGAATTTTGTGAAAATATGATCGACCTTAGTGATCTTAATATTGTTAATAATAATAAAGTGTTTCATTTTTACCGTCACATTAGTAAAAAAATTGACGGTTTAAAGAAAATCAAGGGTGGAAAGTCTGTAAGATCTAATGATATCCCAATTGAAGTGTGAAAATATTTAGGAGATTTGAGAGTTTATTTCCTTAATAAACTCTTTAATATTATTTTAAGAACTCTTAATGTCAAATACTCTTAATCTGCTTTAGTATTGGCTTTATTCAACTATAATGCTAGGTAATCTCTTAGGCGACAAGGCCGAATGGCTTCTTATCTAGCCATAAAGCTGATAGTCTCATATTTCAAAAACCAACCCAAGTATTCTCTTTACTCGGTTAAACTTTTATATAAAACATAAAATGCCAAGTATACCTTCAGGTGAGTACTGATTTGACTAGAATGAATTCAATGTTTTTGGTGACTTAACCCAAGATATTTGGTTTGCAGTACTATGCTTTCCAACACTATTCTTACAACTCGTCTTATGTTGAAGAAATATCCATGCTTATAGCTTCTAACTTTGACACCATTATTCTTTCAATAGCTAATTTGTTTGCAATGTATGAATAGACTATTCTTCAATACTATAATGCATCATTGGTGAGGGATGGAGTTTCAAACGCCATAGTTAAATTTGGTGGTGTAGCAAGAATATTGGGAGGCCTTGGTGCTAACTATAGCAACTCTGCTCCTAAAGTTATGTATTATTCCGCAAGAGGGCCAGATCCAGAGGATAATTCGCTTGCAAATGCAGACATAATGAAGCCAAATCTTATAGCTCCTGGGAACTTCATTTGGGGTGCTTGGAGTTCTGCAGGTACAGACTCGAATGAATTTCAAGGTACCAATGCAATCATTTATCATATTCGCTTCTCTTTTGCTTACATCTAATCACTATGTTCTACAGTTAACCTCTCTTTCTACTCACTGTCACCTATCCATATTCCCTTGCAGGTCAAAATTTTGCATTGATATCTGGAACTAGCATGGCCGCTCCCCATGTAGCTGGGCTCGCTGCTCTAATAAAACAGAAATTTCCAACTTTCAGCCCATCAGCCATTGCTTCTGCACTCTCCACAACCGCTACACTTTATGACAAGCAAGGCGGACCAATCATGGCTCAACGAACATACACCAACCCAGACTCATCCCAATCACCCGCAACACCGTTCGACATGGGAAGCGGTTTTGTTAATGCTACTGCTGCTTTAGATCCAGGAATCATTTTCGATGCGTGTGAGTCAAAACTCTTTATTTGGACATTTGTTTTTTGGATACCTTTTATTTATCTAATCTTTCACCACGCATTTCCTTGCAGCTTATGATGAATACATTTCTTTTCTTTGCGGCATCAATGGTTCTGCGCCTGTGGTTCTAAACTATACCGGCAACAATTGTGATGCCGACACCATTAATGGAACTGACTTGAACTTACCTTCGGTAACTGTCGCTTTGCTGAATCAATCGAGAACCGTCACAAGGAGATTGACAAACATAGCTAGTGATGAGACCTACAGTGTCAGCTTCAGTGCTCCTTATGCGGTTTCTCTCCGGGTCAATCCTATTCGGTTTTTGTTAGCAAAGGGAGAGACACTAAACCTGACTTTTGTACTGACTGCAACAATGAACAGCAGCTCTGCGAGCTTCGGGAGGATTGGGCTCTATGGGAGCCGAGGTCATGTTGTGATGATTCCATTGTCAGTCATTGTGAAGATTACAAGCAACTTGACTACTACAAGCTGAAATGGACCATGGTTTGACAAATCTGATGGCGTATTTTTTGATTTTTTTTGAACTTGTGTTGTAACATAACATTATAATGCTGAAGCTGAATGCAATTAGATAGATATTGGCCCAATGCTTGTATCATATTCTAACAAGTTACTCATGGGAAGTAATTTTTGCTGTTTTCCTTACTTTTATTCTGTTTATGTTTGGGTATGGTGAACTGGTTGACACATTTTGTCATATGGCTGCCAAAATCATGGAATATCACAGTTGTCTTTATTAACTTTTGCATGAACGATGAGGCGTATGATACATGTGTAGATATGTTTGTATAAATGAAACAAGTATTTTACTCATGTCTGCCTCTCGGATAATGCTATGTTGGCTTCTGATTTATGTACGTGTTCTCTATTATTCGATTATTATTATTATTATTGTTATTTTTAATGCAATTGTGCACGGCTAAATCATACATGTTCCATATTTGTTTTTATTTTCTGATTATTTTGGGGCCTGTAGTGTTTATTGCATACGTACACCGTACATAAATTTACGTGTGGTGTCTGAACCATTGAAATATATTTTTTTGTTTTTTTTTTGTAAGAGTGGGACTTATTTTAAATTTTTCTGAACCATTGAAATATATTTTTTTTGTTTTTTTTTGTAAGAGTGGGACTTATTTTAAATTTTTGACGGTCCAGAGCAGACACTGCATACAAAAAAATAGTTACAAATGCAATAATTTTTCGTGTATAATAATAATAATAATAATAATAATAATAATAATAATAATAATAATAATAATAATAATAATAATAATAATAATAATAATAATAATAATAATAATAACAACAACAAGGAAGGGAAAAGGAATAAAATAATCTATAATCAATTTATGGCAATTGGGAAAAGGTGACATTGTACAAACGATTTCATTGACAAATATTGTTTAAATAGTTAAATGAACTTGAAACTCAAAATACATAGATCAATTGAAGAAGGCTTTGAGTATTGAACTTTCAAGCATTGGGTTCATTAGGGATAGTTGTAGTTGCCTATAATCAATTGTGTTGTAGGTTGTAAATGCATTATCTGTTTGAAAAATATAGGCCCTGTATGTAATCATTTTTTGTTTCCTGTTTTTTATTTTTGTTTTAAAAAAAAATTTAAAATAAAACAAAAAAAAATGTTTATTTTCTGTTTTTTTATTTTGTATTTAAACAAACTCGTTTTTATTTTCGAAAACACGACGTTAAAAAATTGTTTTCTATGATTTTAAAACATCTCCCATGCATTTCTATTCCGAACAACGGTTATTATACACGGATCGTTGAGATTTTTTTTTTCTTCACGGTGATGGACATATCGTGCCCGGTAGTCCGGACGCAATTCTACCTAGGGTTGTAAAAGAGCCGAGCTTGAGCGAGCTCAGGCTTGGCTCGTGTTCGGCTCATTCGAAATAGCTCGTGTTCATAATTCGACCTTTAAAAACTTATTCGTGTTCGACTCAGTTTACTTAACGAATGAGTTGAACACAAACTACTTAACGAGCTGAACAAGAGCTGTTCGCAAACAACGAGCTTTTTTGACAACTCGAATTCCACCTCCACACTTCAGACACAATAAATGTCTTCCGTGACACGAACATTGATGCTGATGCCTTCTTCACCGGTGACACCGATGTCGATGCTTGCTGACACTGATGCCTTCTCCAATGCCTTCTTCTGCTCTCTTTTTTCTCCTTAATTTTATAGTGCCACTCGACAACCATCTTAGAGATTTTGATGAGGGCGGTGGTTGAGAGATAAGGAGTGGTAATATTGCTACATATGTGTGTAACACAAAAAATAAAAAAAAATGACCCCAAACACCTCCTTAATTGTCAAGTTTTTTGCTATTGCTACATATGATCATATTTTCTTTATTTCCTCACATATTATATAATAAATTAAGTTATAATATTATAACATCAAATTATCATAACTTTCTAGCAATTTTTCTTTTTGGGGTAAATCAAGCGTTGGAAATCATCTTTTTTGAGATTTCTTCATTTTATTTGATTAAATTTGTGACCCGAAATTTATGATCTCACTTATTTAGTAGAAAATTATGAAAGTGGATTGAAGGCTTTTAAAGTTGGATTATTTTGATGGTGGCATTTTGATTGCTATTTGTGTGCTTTATAGAACCCATCTAAATTGTTATTTATGTGCTTTAAAGGCCCCCTTTTGTGTATTTTTCTTTTAAGAGGTGCTGTAGAAGTCTATAAGTACATCATTAATTAGTACAATATAATCCACTCTTTAGTTCAGTAATATGTGAGCCACCACGTTCTCTAATTATAATTTTCATTCGATGTAATGAATTCTGCTCTGCCCATGATTTTTTCCGTCTTAGATTTTCCACGTAAAATTTATATGTTTTATTTATTTAGTTGTTCAGCGCATCAATCTTATTAGTGATAGAGCGAAATTTTTTTATTTCGACAATGACAACAATGAAGTTAATGTTTCTCTTTTAGATTACACATGTTAGATTTTTATTTTAGCTGGTTAGGACTCAAACTATTTTGATTTAATTGAATTTAGATGATGTACTAATAGGATTTGATAAGATAACCTCATCATAGATGCTAGAGGAAAAAACAACGTATGGATCAAAAAACTATATCAAAGATTCATTTTTATATGTCAAATCAAGGAGGAAAGGCAATGTACGGATCAAAAGACTATATCAAAGATTCATTTTTATATGTCAAATCAAAATTTATTGGGTGTTTTAAAGGAGAAGACAACCTTATGGTTGAAGTTAGAATAGTTGTGTACGATGAAATGTCTCAAAAGTAAGCTGCATCGAACAAATGCATTCCCATAGAATGGGTGAAGGCACAAATATTGTAGGTCACATGACTACGTTTAAAAAACTTTTCTCTGATTTAGAGGTCAAACATGTTAGATATATAGAAGAAAATTTGACATTAATCCAATTATGTTTGTCGCGTTAAAATATGCAATATTTAGAAACACCATTTATACAATTGGGAGATAATTATTTTGGATGAAGTTTATGATGTTATGTTTCTTAAAGAGAAGATGGAATAGCTTACAGATGAACCTCTAACTGAAAGGCTCATTATCAAAGAGACGTCTCAAGAAAAAAGTGTTGATACGAAGGATATATTAAAGTTCAAGAATAATGATAAGATTTGTAATCACTATAAGAAGAAATGAGAAATCAAATCTTAATGTTATAAGATATAGAGTGAAAATAATATAAAAACTACTAATCATAAGGGGATATAAATGGATTATTATGGTAAAGCCAATAATGTTGTAGAAGTTGCTAATGATGGCGAAATTTTAGTTATCTTTGATAGTGAAACCTATGATATTTGGGCTCTTTATCTAGCTTGCACGTTGCATATGTGTCCTAATAGAGACTAGGTTTCAACATATGAAATATTGTATAATGGTATGGGGTTAATGAAAAAATAATGTTCTTTTTAAGATAGTAAATATGAGAATTATGAAAGTTGATCATTTTCTTTCCCACACTTTCATCTTTGTCCCTTCCTAATCACAAGAATTTTAGGATCCCCCTTCTTTTTGTTCTTAGGATCAACTCCACCACCTTGCCTCTTCGATCATAGAAATCATGCAAGTTTCCTCTCCAAGTTGCCACTATCTTGATTCCCACATCAGCTCTTTTTCCTATTTAATAGGACTATGGGCGAGGGCATTTGATGATTTGTAACCATCTTCTATTATAGCTACTGAGCTTCCCCTTCACAACCACCAGAGCCTCCCATGTCCTTCACATTTTTAGCTCGTTAATTATCTTTAACCATAATAGCTGCTAAGCAGTAGTGATTGAATATTTATCAACCTTCTATACTCTCTCCCCCCTTCTCTCTCGATTTCTTACTTTTTGTCGATAGAAAGGAATCTCCTCAAAATCTTCCCTTATTCAGACAGTAAGGTTTTTATACTTTTCTTCATCTCCATTTCCCTTCCCCTTGTATACTTATTATAAATTTATTTGATTCTATATTATTTAATATAATTATTTTGCTATGTTAAATTAATTTTTAGGTTAAATGAATTGGTTTCAATATTAATTTTGAGCTAAATTTAATTTAATACTTATATTTATGTTAATATATATAATAAATTAATGATAATTATAGTAATTAAGTTGAAGCTTTGATTCATTGAGAATGTTCTAAACCAGACATAATTTTTTCAAACCATTGGTAGAGTAACTTAAGTTGATTAGGTTACACCTATGTTTCATTAGTTTATTGGGCATCTTGGTAATTTAGTTAGGTTCATGGTGTAAGACCATTAAGTTAGTATCTTCCAATACCTTGTCTTGGATATCAACTAAGTTTGGCGTGTTAAATGTCACGCTAGAGGTAAGTAGATACTATTTATTAGAAGATAAACATACCCTTAATTATTAAGGGCATTATCCTTATCACTCGTATTAGCTTTCTAGATACTTTTTTGATTGTTGCCTCTAAGTTTTGCATTTTATTTATATTATTATACACCTTTTATAGGACTCTTCTACTCTTTTTCTAATAAAATTTTTCCTTAATTTATTGAGGCACATGATTCTACATATTATATTTTATTTTATAGTTATAATAGTTACCTTTTTAATTGTTATTCTTTTTTTTATCGGGGTTTATTATAGCATGTTAAAATCATATTATTTAATATATTATTATAAGTTTACCTATTAAAAATTGTAATTGTATGCATATGTAAAATAGTTTACGTGTTAGTGGAACCCTTTTGGATGTTGGCGGGTGAACTGTTAAAATGTTTTAAATTAAGTATACTTCTTATATAGATTGTGCCATTTCATTATTTTTTGAGCATTTATTAATGTTTATGGTAGAATAAGAACATGAATAATGTGACATAAGGAAAAGTATGGAGATAGAGGGAGGGTGACAGAGATAGAGAGCTACGGTTGGGGTTTAGGCCTTAGGAAGTGAGGTGGGTGCGTGTTTGTGTTGATGTTTCAACCAAGGGAAAAATGTGGATATAAAGATAGTTAAGGTTAGGATTTAAGCCATAGGAAATGAGGGAGAGAGGGAGAGGAGGATGTGTGATTTTGGTTAGCTTTTGGGTAAAAGAGAGAGAGAGAGAGTGTGTGTGTGTGTGGTGGGTATGTTTTG